GTCAATAATTTGTGCGGCCCCCGGAGGATGTTGAAAAAATTGAAATGGCCCTTGAGAGGAAAAAGGTTCCCCACCCCTGGTATAAAGGTAAGAACCTATGTTTGTGGTTAGAGGTTCCGCCGGAAGGCCATACAGTTTTTGACCACACACACACAGACCACACACGGAGAACACACACACACGTCACACACACACACACACACACACACACACACACACACACACACACACACACACACACGCACACACACATCGACCGAACGGACCAACCGANTGATTGGTCAACGCCCGACAGCACAATATGTCCCAACCATGGTCCCAACACATTAGCCGTTAGCAGATTCAACTACGGAGCAACTACAGGTTAGTTTAGATTAGGCTAAACTAACCTATAGCTCCTCCGTCCACACTCACAACAACGTCATACAGACATAAATAAAGCAGCGACTGTATTCGGCATGACATAGACAGTCTGTGTTTTGTATATGTTTAACTTTTGTCCAGTCTCTGAAGCTCGGAGGAGCTGTTAGCTCTGAGCTCTGAGTGTGTGCTAACAGCTAACGGCTGATGTGTTGGGCCAAGCGTAATTTCTTGACTGGCAGCAAAAACAACCAATCACAGCAGTGCTTCTCTGGCTGGCTCTGTCCAATCACAAACAGGAAGTGTTCTCCCTAAGGAATACCCTTTCCGTCCAATGTGAGATGCTGTGGTGTTTTGTGAAATGCTGTGGCGTTTTGTGAAATGCTGTGGCGTTTTGTGAAATGCTGTGGTGTTTTCTGAAATGCTGTGGTGTTTTGTGAAATGCTGTGGTGTTTTGTGAAATGCTGTGGCGTTTTCTGAAATGCTGTGGCGTTTTGTGAAATGCTGCGGCGTTTTGTGAAATGCTGTAGTGTTTTCTGAAATGCTGTGGTGTCTTGCACTTCAGGGCCACCGTACTATTCCAACAGTGGTGACCCTGAAAGAAATTGGCTAGCCTATGTTCCAGGAAAATGCCTTTCCTCACTATTCACCGCGCATAAAGCTAATGAGTGGAATCGCCTTCTGTCATGCATTAGGTGTACCGTTACACCGAGGAAGTAATGGTTCTGTCTCCTATGTAAGTCTAGTGGTCTCCAGTCAGTCCAATACATTTTGTTCTAGTCCTCCACTTGATTTGCCTTTAGACTGCAATGCAATTCATGGTAAACATCTGCAACGGAACTACGTGAGGAAGTTGGTGTCAAACTTGATGATTTGTATGCATTCGTTTTTTTAACACATTAAGGTTTCCAGATTAATCTCAAGGGTTAAAGCCTTACCATTGACAGCCCTAGTTTACTCCTGTCTGATACCGATGTTATCCAGCTCACTTCACCTTCCTTGGGAGAACATGTTACATCACATAGTGTTTTTGCATACACATAATGTGCTTTCCTCTGCCCCCAAAGATACACTATATCCATCACATGGGATCAAGTACACAGTGTGTCTGTGCAACCTTTGCTTGCACAAGTATCCCCCCAGTGAGCCACAGACATAAAGGAACACAGTGTAAGCCACTCAGCAGTTTACTGTAACCAGGCCGGGAGCTTCTCCGAGACCCATCTCTGCTTCTATCACCGTTCCCTCAGTACACCCCTGACACATTACCAAAGACAGTAGGCCTGCTAGCCACTCAGAGTGTACACAGCGAGACACAGAAAGACTGTGTACTCCTACGTACAGCAGTCCACTCGTATGTTTGATCAGTCCAGAAATGTTTACACCCTGCTGCTGCTGTGAACGAATAAAAGTTTCCATCAGAAGTATGTCTTACAGTTTTATTGGAATAGCACATAATTGAGACAAACAGTCTCCCAAAGTAGTGCAGTAAATATTATGACCAGTGGAAAGTGATAAAAAGACCAACTTCTCTCCATACATGTCCATACATTTCCACAAAGGCCAGGCTCTGCGTCTACGTGTTAGCTCCACCGCGTGACTGCGCTCTGTTGACTCAGTGACATATGAGTGAAATTATATCAGTGATTCATACCCTCCTCCTCGCTCTCGCTTTTCTATCTTTCTCCAGCTCTCCTCCTATGCCCTCCTCAGGGCTCTATAAACTGGCAATGTCAACAGAGTCAGACACGCCTGCTCCAACATGGCCGCTGGCTGGGAGCGCAAGCCCAGACTCAAGACGCTTCTTTTTCACCTCAGGAATAAAATAAAGTAGCTATTTATGCTCATTTCTGTTTTAATAACCCTCTAGTGGTGATTAATGATAATTTATCTTGCTTCAATGCTGAGGCACTCTAGTCTACTCATGCCTAGATAGTGAGAAGAGCCTACCATACTGCATTAAAAGTCTAATTTTGACTTTAATGTCAGCTAATGACAGTGGGTACAACCTAATTTAAGCCTTTAATACAGTGATGCCAACACAGGTATGGTGAAAAAAGAGAGAACTATTCGAAGCAGAAAGAAACAGCGTAATATACCATCTGACAAAGGCCTGTGCTATAATGCTTCAATTAACTGGCTATTCTTTATAATATACTCAGATCAATAGGAGACAGAGATGTTAAGTTAAAATCAAGGGTTTTTATTATTATTTACAGCAAGGGGTGGGGAACCTTGTTTCCTTTTCAATTTTTACAACATCCTCCGAGGTCCGTACAAAGTTATTGAACTCAACCTCTGCTTAAAAAAACTAAAATCACAGACAATTTCATTTAGCCTTTCTTTCATGCTGTGCAAAGAAAACGCAACCTCTTAATCCAGATATCTTACCATGCATGCATGGTAAGATATCTGTTTTGGTGGTCATGCCACACCGTGCACATGCATGCATGGCATGCATGCATGTGCACGGTGTGGCATGACCACCAAAACAGAAAGATATTGGACACAAGATGTGTGCAATGTATTTAGTATCCATGTGAACATGATTTAAGTGGGGTGGGACCTAACCTTCTCTAGGGGGGTCCGGGGGCATGCTCCCCCGGGAAGATGAGTAGATCTATGGATACATCTTTCAACACCCATTTGAAACAGAACTGTAAGCAGTTTTCTTTTTGGATATTTTACAAATCACCTCTCCTTTTAAACTCTATTCTTGTTATTTTAACAACTTTTTGTTAC